AAAAAGGTGGAAGCAACGTAAGTGCCCAGCAACAGATGAATGGATTAACAAACTGTAGTACATACACACAATGGAATACTACTTGATGATATAGAACAATGATGAATCTGTGAAATACCTCACAACATAGATGAATTTGGAGGACGTTATGCTGAGTGAAATAAGTCAATAAGAGAAGGACAAATATTGTATAAGATTGTTATTATAAAGTAACAACAAAAGGTTTATACACGGGAAAAATATATGTATTTGATTGTTACCAGGGATGGGAGTGGGAGGGAGGGCAAATTACCAAATAGACAGCACCCATTGCCATTGAGTTGATTCCGACTCATAGCAACTCTATAGAACTGAGTAGAACTGCCCCATACAGTTTCCAAGGAGCGACTGGTGGGTTCAAACTGCTGACCTTTTGGTTAACAACCAAGCTCTTAATCACTGCACCACCAAATAGTAGACACATGTTAACACTGGTGAAAGGAAAGGCAATACACAGTATGGGAGAAGTCAGCACAACATGACCAAGGCAAGAGAGGACACTGAGAGGAATGCAGGAATAAAGGACAGCTATATAGCATAGACAATCCTGCAACAATAGTATTAACAAACAATAATGTATGAATGAATACATAGATAAATATGTATGCCAAGAGGTGAGGGAGGGTATGAGGGAGCACACTCACTAGCAGATACAGGTCTGGTGGTGGAAATTTCTAAATACATGACTGTAGGTGCTCCTCGTATATCAATATAGACAACAGAGCACACAAGGCACAGTTAGGGAAACCTCTTAGCTATAACGAAACACCAAGAGGGATGAAGTTCCCAGGCTTGAAGGCAAAGGATCATAGACTCAGGGGACATCTACGTCAATTAGCACAACATAGTTCTTAAAGACAATGTTCTACATCCTACTTTGGTGAGTAGCACCTGGGGTCTTAAAAACTTGCGAGCAGCCATCAAAGATACAGCTACTGGTCTTTTCCAGTCCAGAGCAAAGAAGAGTGAAAAAAACTGAAGACCCAAGGGAGCAGTTAGTCCAAAGGACTAATGGACCACATGAACCACAGCCTACAGGACCCCTAGACCAGAAGAGTTAGATGGTGCCCAGCTACCACTACCTACCACTCTGACTGGGATTACAACAGAAGGTCCCAGACAGCAGGAGAAAAATGTAGAACAAAAGATCAAATTCACAAAAAAGATCAGACTTACTGGTCTGAGAGAGAATGGAGGAACCTCCACGACTATAGCCCTAAGACACCCTTCTGACCTGGACCTGAAGGCATTCCTGGAGACCACTTTCCAGACAAACAATAGACAAACCCATAAAATAACAACACCCAAGAGAAATGTGTTCCTTAGAACAATCAATTATAAGAGATCAAAAGGGCAATATTTGCCCAGAAGCAAATACGAGAAGGCAGGGAGGGGTAGAAAATTGGGACAAAAGGAAAGGGGGAACCCAGGGCAGAAATGGGGAGAGTGGTGACACATTGTGGGGAATGAAGCCAAGGCCATGAAACACTTTATGTACAAACTATGGAATGGGAATCTAATTTGCTCTGTAAACTTTCACCTAATGCTCAATTAAAAAATAATAATAAATAAATAAAGACTGAGTTGCAAATAACAGGACACCCAACTCAAAACCCTACCTAGGTTAGTTGAAGGTGGGAATTAATTGGCTAAGGCAACTAGGAAACCCAGGGGTAGAAATCCAGACATAGCTGAATCCAAGGGGACCCAAACAATGTTGTTAAGACTATCTCTCGATCCCTATTTCAGTGCTGCTTATCTCTACATCCTTTTATAAGATGTCCTCATTCTTGCTTGCGTAGACATCTCTACATAGTGTAAAGATTGCTGCCGGTTTTCCTCATAGCCCCTTCCTTATGCTCGAGATCCAATAGAATGCCCCTTTCTCAGCAACTATGTAGTAATCTCGTGGAATGATTCTGATTGGCCCTGCTGAGTCACATGCCCACCACCTAGGTCCAATCCCTGGGGACAATGATATGGGGAACCATGATTGGTCTTGCTGAGTCACATGCCCAGCCATACCTCCCTTTTTCTATAGGATGCAGACAGTCCCAACAAAACCAAATGGAAGGGGGAAGAGGCAGTTCTCCAAACAGAAATAGGGATGTCGAGTTGACAAATTTCAGAAGGGTATGCTGCAGAGCTGGTTGGGGGCCATCTAATGGGTGCAGAAGGTGGATGTTTCTATCAGTGGGAGGTGTTGAGTGGAGAGGCAGGGCTAAATGGGGAAGACCCAGTGATGGAGTGTGAGCAGCTAATAATGAGTGTCATGGATTGAATTGTATCCCCCCAAAATATCTGTCAATTTGGCTAGGTCATGATTCCCAGTATTGTATGATTATCTACCATTTTATCTTCTGATGTGGTTTCCCTATGTGTTGTAGATTCTATCACTATAATAAGATGGATTAGCAGCATCTATAATAAGGTGGATTAGCGGCAATTATATTGATGAGGTCTACAAGATTAGATAGTGTCTTAAGCCAGTCTCTTTTGAGATAAAGGGAGAAGTGAGCAGAGAGACAAGGGGACTTCATACCACCAAGAAAACAGCACCGGGAGCAGAGCGCATCCTTTGGACCTGAGGTTCCTGCGCTGAGATGCTCCCAGACCAAGGGAACACTGATGCATCACAAGGACCTTCCTCCAGAGCCTTCCAGAAAGAAAGCCTTCCTCTGGAGCCAGAGCCCTGAATTTGGACCTGTAGCCTACTGGACTGTGAGAGAATAAACTTCTCTTTGTTAAAGACATTCACTTGTGGTATTTCTGTTATTATAGCAGCACTAGATGACTAAGACAATGAGGTTTCATCTTAGAATAGCCTGAAACCTCATGCTGGGAAAGTCAGTCTGGCAGGGTGGAAGTGGTAGCTTAGAGCAGGGAAGACAAGTCAGAGAGCTGTGCTACATGCTATACTTCCATTATATAATCCTCTCAACAATCTTAGTAGGTGGGTACTATTATCGTCCTCATTATATAGAAACAAAAACAGACCTCAGAGGGATTCAGTAACTTGCCCAAGATCACACAGATAGGAAGAGGCAGTGTTGGGTTTTTTTTTCGTCTTCTTGTGTGCATGTGTGTGTGTGTGCGTGCTTTAGGTGAAAGTTTCCAGAGCAAATTAGTTTCTTATTAAACAATTAATACACATATTGTTTTGTGACATTGGTTGCCAACCCCCGCAACATGGCAACACTCTCCCCTTCTCAACCTTGGGTTCCCCATTTCCATTGTCCAGCTTTCCCGTCCCCTCCTGCCTTCTCTTCCTTGCCCCTGAGCTGGTGTGCCCATTTAGTCTCATATATATACATGGTTGAACTACATGTTTTATAGGCCTGTCTAATCTTTGGCTGAAGGGTGAGCCTCAGGAATGACTTCAGTACTGAGTTAAAAGGGTGTCCAGGGGCCATACTCTCAAGCTTTTGCCAGTCTGTCAGACCAGTAAGTCTGGTCTTTTTTTTTGCGGGGGGGGAGTTTGAATTTTGTTCTACATTTTTCTCCATCTCTGTCCAGGATGCTGTATTGTGATCCCTGTCAGAGCAGTTGGTGGTGGTAACTGGCACCATCTAGTTGTGCTGGACTCAGTCTGGTGGAGGCTGTGGTAGTTGTGGTCCATTAGTCCTTTGGACTAATCTTTCCCTTGTGTCTTTGGTTTTCTTCATTCTCCCTTGCTGCAGACAGGATGGAACCAGTAGTCGTATCTTAGATGGCCGCTCACAAGCTTTTAAGACTCCAGACGCGACTCACGGAAGCAGGATGTAGAACATTTTCTTCATAACCTGTTAATTAAGCTAGATGTCCCCCGAGACCATGGTCCCCAGTAATTCGATCCCTCAGGGAGTTTGGATGTGTCTGTGAAGTGTCTATGGCTTTGCCTTGGGCAAGTTGTGCTGACTTCCCCAGTATTGTGTACTGTCTTACCCTTCGCCAAAGTTACCTATTGTCTAGTTAGTGTTTTTCCCTCCCGACTCCTCCCCTGCTTCGTAACCATCAGAGATTGTTTTTCTGTGTGTAAACCTTTTCATGAGTTTTTATAATAGTGGTCTCATACAGTATTTGTCCTTTTGTGATTGACTTACTTCACTCAGCATAATGCCCTCCAGATTCATCCATGTTGTGAGATGTTTCGAAGATTCATCATTGTTCTTTATCATTGGGTAGTATTCCATTGTGTGTATATGTACCATAGTTTATCCATTCATCTGCTGAAGGGCACTTGGGTTGTTTCCATCTTTTTGCTATTGTGAATAATGCTGCAATGACCATGGGTGTGCATATGTCTATTCGCGTGATGGCTCTTATTTCTCTAGGATATATTCCTAGGAGTGGGATAGCTGGCAGTGCTGGTATTTCGAACTCTGAACCACGTTGGGCCCCTATAGCCAAAATCAATGTACCACGAACCTCCACTTTGCTCCGATTCAGCTTGCAATACCTAAGCATGAATAGCAAGGTGGTAAGGGTGTCACCATGGAGCAATCTTGGGCGAGTCCTGTCGCTCTTGAGGCCTCAGTCACCACATCACTGAAATGGGCACAATTCTGCATCCAGAAGTCAGAGCAAGCATCTGCATCCTTGAAGCGCGCAGGACTCGCAGGGAGGTGCCCGCATCCGCGAGCCTGTGGAGTGTGGGACAAAGACAGAGCCCAGGGGGGCGGGGCCGAGACACGCGCCAGCCCTTCGGCTTTCGAAAGTTACCTGGCTGGTGGGGGTTAGGGTTGGGGAAGTTACTGGCTGCGCGCGCGCGCGCGCATCGGCCCCGCCCCCAGTTTCTTCAGGCACCTGTTGGCTCGAGGGCCCACTCCGGTAGCGTCTTCCAACCAATAGGCAGCCTTTCTGACCCAATCTGGTCCCGCCCACCTCCAGGATCCTCCAATCCCCGGGTGGCCACGGCCCCTCTCCCTCGGAGGGACCGCCCCACCGGCCACTTCTTCCGGGTGGGGCCCCGGGCAGAGGCGATGGCGCCCTGGGCGTTCATCAGCCCCGGGGTCGTGGTGCGGACCGGGCACACTGTGCTGACCTGGGGGATCACGCTGGTGCTCTTCCTGCATGATACCGGTGAGCCAGACCCCGCGCGACCCCGGACCCACCCGATCCCGCGTGGCTCCCCAGACGTTTGGGACTCTGCTGGATCCCCAAAGATTCCGGGATCCACCCGATCTCCTCCAGCTCCCGAGGCCCCCTTCCCCACTTGTTCCAAGAACCACTAGCTTTCCGCCTGATACCCAGTTGATTCATAATTGATCCCAGTATCTTCCTGACCCCTGCCAAACGCCCTGTCCATCCCGGGACCCATCCGGTGCCCACCAGATTGGAGGATCGACTCGAGCCCCCATCTCTCCTGATTACAGGACCCACCCAATCCTTCCCAGGAATTGACTCCCAACCTTCCCCATCCCTGAGATTCCGAGAATCAAGTAGATTCAAGGACCGGCATCCCGCCCACCCTGGTGGCCACTAGCTGCCTAAGTCCAGGCTCCCCAAGTCCAGGCTCCCCATCCTCTGTCAAGAGGAGAATATACTGACTGGGGAGCGGCCAGTACCCCATCTTCCCATCCTCGCTTCTTGCCCTGTAACACCCACTTGCCTCCCCACACTTATCATTCCCCAGTAGCCCCCTACCCAGTGCTTTACCTATGACTGAGGGCCTCCAGCACAAGTTCTGACCCTCCCCTACTACCATCCACCTCTCCCAGCCCCCACCCCTCTCTCTTTGCTGCAGCCTCAGCCCCTGGACTGTTGCTGGTTCTTTCTTCCCAAAACCACCTCAAGTCTCCTCAACCACCTCTCCCTTCATACTAAAAACCTGCTCAGGTCTGCCCATCAGAAAAGGATCTCCCAACCTCCTTACTTTCTTTGCTTCCTTTTACAACCAAGAGGTACCAGTTGTCCACTCTGCTGCCTGACTGACTCATGGCCCCTCACTCTTCAGTCCCTCTGCCCTGCCCCCTAAAACAATACTCGGTCACCTCCATGGATCCAGGCACTGGCTGGACCCTCCCCAGGCCTGGGCTCCCTCATGTCCCTCTGCAGCATGCAAGCCTGCCAGTCCTGCCCTCCTGGGCCTCTGTCCCGTGGGCATTGCAGACCTGGTCAGTGTCTCCCCATCGCAGATGCCAGACCTGGGAGTTGGCCCGAACCCCTCCTCTCTCCCCACATCCAGTCAAGTCTGGCCCTTTTGACCTCCTTATCCTCCCTCTGTTCCCCTCCTCCTCTCCGCCCTCCCTGCCAGAGCCCTTGCCCAGCTACCCTCCTCTCCTGTCTGCACAGGCCTCTCTGCCTCCAGGCTCCCCCTCTAATCCATCTTCTCTCCAGCAGCAGAAAGGCTTTCAGAAACACAAATCTGACCCTATAACCTTCTATGGTTCCCTGTTACCTTCAAGATAAAATACACACTGCTTTTCTATTTTTTGCTGGGTCCCAACTTCTTCCTTCTGGGCCCCATGATGTGGCCACACCTGACCACTCTTCGAACCACTCTTCGGTCTTTGCTCCGTTAAGAACACTTCCCCACCTCCAGCTGCCCCACCCCCACACCCTTCCATTTGGCCGTGCTCCAGCCTCACTCCTGTCCTCTGGCCTCTCCAGAGCTGCGGCAATGGGAAGAGCAGGGGGAGCTGCTCCTGCCCCTAACCTTCCTACTCCTGGTGCTGGGCTCCCTGCTGCTCTACCTGGCTGTGTCGCTCATGGACCCGGGCTACATGAATGTTCAGCCCCAGCCCCAGGTAACCAGGGGCTCCCTGGGAGCATGAATTCCTCTTCCCAGCAACAGGGGACCCAAGACCCCAATAACTATCTACATGCCAGGCTTTCGTGGGGCATATCAGTGAATCCTCTTGCCAGCACTGTGAGACAGAAACAGTTAAAACCTCATCCTACAATGAGGAAAAGGCCCAAAGAGCAAAAGCAACTTGCAAAAGTCACACAGCCTCCCTCAGTCCAGGGCGCTTGACCCCACTTCACCACCTCCATTCCCCATGGGATGAGCACCAAACTGTCCACACCCAGAGCTCCAGAGTTAAGCTGGCCCCCAAGGGAAACACCCATTGATGCCATCTGCCTCCCATGGGGACCCCATCTTATACTCTGTCCCCCCATTTTCAGGAAGAACTCAAGGAGGAGCAGATGGCCATGGTTCCTCAGGCCACCCCCCTTCGGCGCTGCAGATACTGCCTGGTGCTGGTGGGTGATGCAGGACCCCGTGAGAGGGGCTGGGGTGAGGTTGAGACTCCCTGACCTTTTCTTGCCCCAGTACCCCGATCCTCCAGGAAGGCCTCCCAGATTCAGGCCTGGACCCCGGCCCTCACCCCTCCCCTCGGGCTCACAGGGGATGCAGTGTTAAGCCCAGATTCCCCTTGATGCCCACAGCAGCCACTGAGGGCCCGGCACTGCCATGAGTGCCACCGCTGTGTCCGCCGCTATGACCACCACTGCCCCTGGATGGAGAACTGTGTGGGGGAGCGCAACCACCCACTCTTCGTGGCCTACCTGGCGCTGCAACTGGTGGTGCTTCTGTGGGCCCTGTACCTGGCATGGTAGGCACCACTGCGGCCCTGGGAGCGTGCGGGAAAGCAGGCAACCTGTGTCCACAAGGTGTATACGAAGCCAGGTCTCCACTGGCTGAAGGGGGCTCCTTCTTCAGAGGCCTCAGCCCCCTCCCAAATGGCCTGCTTACCCAGGCTCTCCAGAGCTCAGCAGAGGGAGGGAGGGAGGGGTACTGCTACATCCCAGCTCTGGGTCCCCCATCCTGTCCTGCAGGTCCGGCCTCCGGTTCTTCCAGCCCTGGGGGCTGTGGCTGCGGTCCAGTGGCCTCCTATTTGCCACATTCCTGCTGCTGTCTCTCTTCTCATCAGTGGCCGGCCTGCTCCTGGCCTCGCATCTCTACCTGGTGGCCAGCAACACCACCACGTGGGAGTTCATCTCCTCACACCGCATTGCCTACCTCCGCCAACGCTCCAGCAACCCCTTCGACCGCGGCCTGATCCGCAACCTGGCCCACTTCTTCTGCGGATGGCCCTCGGGGTCCTGGGAGACCCTCTGGGCTGAGGAAGAGGAGGACAGCAGCCAGGCTGTTTAGGGTCACTGGAGGCAGAGCTGCCATCTTGTGCCTGAAACCAGAGGAGCTGTACCCAGTGGGGTCTGCCCCTCAGAAGGCCCGGGGCTCCTCACTCCTGCCCACTTCCTCCCAGGCCTCAGAGCAGAGCATAAGGATAGAATCTCTGCCTCAGTGAGCAGCTCAGCCCTCTAAAGAAAGAAAGAGAATAAGAGGACCCATGGGATGCTCGGGCACAAACGGACCCCTGGCTTCTGAGACCTCCACCTGCCCCCCGAGCCAGGCTGCCTCCCAGTGCACAGTTTTACAAATTTAATAATCCATAAAGCAAGTCAAGTATTAAAAAAATAAATCAAGCCACTCATGTGGCGCCCTTCTGGTCCATCTCATTGGGAGGCAGAGGAGGGGAAAGGGGGAGCACTTGGCCCAGTGGCACTGAGCAGGCCCCACGACAGAGCAGCCCATGCCGCCACCCCGCGCCCCAATGGCTCATAAATACCAAGCAAGGCCTGGGCCTCCAGAGCAGGGCTCACAGGCGAGCACACTGGTGGGCACACAGTGGCTCTAACAGTCTGGGGGACAGAGATGGTAGGGGAGCCCCTCAGGGCTCCAGGAATCGCTCTGACACGAAGTCGAAGTCCCGGAAGGCAGCCTGTTGGCGGGTGGTGAGTGGGCTTCGGGGGTCAGGCGGGGTCAGGGCAGGCGGCAACCCCGTGAACTCGCCCTCAAAGTAGCACAGGTCTGCAGGGCCACAGAGGGTGGGCACGAAGGGGGGCTGGACGGTGCGGGTGAGCATGGCCTGCCAGTCGGTGGCCTGAGGGCAAGGGCAGAGGGTCCTGAGATGGGAGCCGCAGCCCCCGAGCTCACTCCACACCCCGCACTCTGGCCAGGCACTGGCCCCCCTGCCGCCCAGGCCACTTACCCTGAAGAAAGGCTGTGTCTTGATCTCCTCAGCATCCTGCTCGCCTGCCCCCAGGCGCTGCTCTGGGCACTTCTGGAGGAGCTGGAAGAGAGGACAGTGCTTGCTGAGTGCATTCAGCCCAGGCGCTGCCCGCCTCCTCAGGCACCCAGTCAAGCTGGGCCCAGTGGTGGAGGGCATGTGAATGATGAGCAGCTATCTGCCCCAGCCCTGGGCCTGCGGTGCTTACCTTCTGAATGAGCTCAAGTGCTTGCACAGACAGGAAGCGGGGGTATGGGGCATCCTCGTTGACAATGCAGTCGAACACCTCCTCTTCAGTATCCCCTGGGAACGGGCACTGTGGAGATGGGGGCTCAGCAGGGTGCAGGGGCCACCCCACCCCTCCCCGACCTGGAGGCCCCAGCAGCCCCGGCCCAGCACTCACCTCACCCACCAGCATCTCGTAGAGCAGCACACCCAGCCCCCACCAGTCCACTGCCCGCGTATAGGCCTCCTGGGTCAGCACCTCGGGGGCCAGAAACTCTGGGGTGCCACAGAAGGTACTTGTCCGGTCCCCAAAGCCAATCCCTGCAAAACCAACACCCACACTGGACACCTCCTTCATGTCCTGTTCACAATGACTTCTGCGGGTTTAAGAACCACCAGCTAACCTTTCTGATGCCAGAGTCTCAGAGGGCCAAGCTCACATGCCAGGGTCATACAGGAAACAGAACCCAGTACCTCTCCCAGCCCTGACTACACGCTCTCCCTCTCTGGCCAAGAGCAAGCTGGGTTGGTCTTTTTTTTAAGAGCCTCTGGTGTAGGGAAGGAAGGGCCAATGTGCCCAGCTGTTCCCGAGAATGAGGGCCCAGGTGGGGGAAGCAAGCCATCAGTGAGGACGAGACCGTCTGGGCGATGCCACTTTCCCACAAAGCTGGACGGGGGATCCTGTGCAGGTGGCACCTACCTTCCTTGCATAGCCCGAAGTCTGCAATCTTCAGGAACCCCTGGGCATCCAGCAGGAGGTTGTCCAACTTTATGTCCCTGAGAGCAAGGGGGCAGATCACAGGGACTGGGAAGGGCTGAGGCCCAGAGAACAGCAACTTGCCCCCAGAGCAGCCCAGGGGGGTGGGCAGCAACCACCCCCATGCTCACCCCACTTCCAGCATCTCTGGGGCAAAAGTTACCTGTAAATAATCTTCTTCTCATGTAAGAACTGCAGCCCCAGGACCACACAGGCCAGGTAGAACCTTAGGAGGTGTGGGGGAGAGTTCAAGATGGCGGGGGGTGGGGTGGGAGGTAGGGCAGGGAGGCACCAGGATGGCATGGCCTGGGGACCCCTTTGATGCCCTGGCCGGAGTCAAGTGTGGGTGAGGTGACAAACTGAGATGAGCATCATGCCCAGGCTGGGGACTCCTCCAGACAACAGTCCCAAGGTATCCCAAGGTCACTGTGCACTAACAGCCTACCCTTCCTGGGTTCTTAAGCTGTGCTGGGGCTATGCCAGCAGCCCCTGCAGTTGATACTCATGATGCCTATTTTCAGACGAGGATCTGAGGCTCCAGGTAAGTGCCTGCCCAGGGTCACACAGCTAGTGGCAGAGCTGATGTGTGAACCCAGGTCTTCCCAACTCCAGAGCCTGCACCCTGGTGGGTAATGATTAACAGCTCCAGCTGCCATTCATTGTGCACTTCCCGTTCCTGTCCCTGTGCTGGGCAATTTATAAATGTTACTCTCATCTATGCAACAATCCTATGAAACAGATATTATTGCCCCAATTCACAGCAACAATCCAATAAAATAGATACTATTGGCCCGCCCAATTCACAGCTACATAAACTGAGGCTGAGGGTCACAAACACTGAGAGTTGAAGCCAGGATTTGAAGCAAGGCCTCTCTAACTCCATGCCCTTCTGCTGATGGGTGCCTGGAGGAAGCAGGATGAAGGGAGCTGGGTAGAAGGAATCGGAACGCTTGCGGTAGATGCAGGAAGGAGGGATGGGAACACACCGGGCTTGGGGCTCAGGGAAGACGTCCTCGTGGATCTGCATCATAAGGTCTCCTCCAGGCACAAACTCAGTCACGAAGCAGGCGTGGCTGGAGGTCTGGAAGCAGGCAAGTAGGGAGAGCAGGAAGGGGTGCCCAGTGCGGCCCACAGCCTCCAGGATCCGCTTCTCACAGTACAGGCTGCAGGGCAGGGCACGGGTCTTAGAGGGAAGGAAGAGCTCGGCTAACTGCACCCAGCCACCCACATGACACCCCTGGCTCACTGGGTCCTCAGTCAAAGGGCCAGGTGGGTAGAGTGATGGCTTCTATATGTCAGGGCTCATGAGCCCACACATCACCAAGGACCCCCATTTACAGATGAGGAAACTGAGGTTCAGAGAAAAAAGGAAACCTGCTCACGGGGCACACAGTTAATAATTACAGGTGCTAAAAAGAAAACCCAGGCCTGGCTGGCCCCAGAGCCTGCACCCTCAGCCTTGACAGGGTCACCTCTCCAAAGCCCCACGAGCCTTCAGCTGCCTTCTGGATGCCCGTAGCCCTAGCCCCAGCCACCTTGGGTACTCTCTGGGTCCAGGTGCCTGGGGAAGGCACAGCCCCACTACACACCTGTCTATCTCATCCCGGCCAAGCACCTCCTGTTTCTTTAGCGCTTTGATGGCATAGTATTTTCCCGTCCCCTTGAATTGGACCAGGAGGACCTGGGGGCAAAGAGAGATGAGCCCAGGTAGACAGTGCAGGGAAGACCCCAGCAGCCTTCACTTCTCCCACAGAATCCCAGTGTCCTGCCCCCTCCTTAGCCCACTACCTTTCCAAAGTGCCCGCGGCCCAGCACAGCCAAGCAGCGGAAGTCTTGAAGCCGGGGGGGTTTCCTACAAGAGAGAGAGGGCACAGGAAACCCCCTGGGACAATGGCTGGGCCCCCACCAGGAGCCCCTCCAAAACCTCCATGCCCAGTCCTGGGCTGTCCCCACCTATAGGGCTTGTGGGACAGGGGCTGGAGAGTGCTGCAAGGGGGTGGTCCTAGGACAGCAGTTTATCCTAGAGTCTGGTATATAGCTGGAGCTCAGTAATGTGGGCTTAGCGAGTAAGAACCTGAGACCAAGGCAGTGATACGTCAAGGAACATCGGAGTGTAAATGAATGGATACACAATTGTTCAAGTAAGGGTATAATTGTCTCAATTGTGGGTACCTGGTGGGTGAGGCTGGTGGAGACGACCTGAGTCCCATCCTGGGCTCCATGTGGGGGCGTTTGGTGAGCTGTGAGGGCAGAGGGGTTCAGGATCCAGCTGGGCTTCCTTCCCCTGCCCCCAGCTGCGCTGCCCCCCACAATAGCCCTAAGAGCTACAGCTCAGCCCTCCCCCTGCACCTCACCGGAGTCTCCTCGGGGGTGGGCTCCCGGGACAGGTAGAGGTGCGGGGGCTTGGGTGGGGGCTTTGTCTCTTCTCCCAAGGGGGCTTTCCTGGGTGGGAAATTACTGTGGGGAGGAAACAGAAACATGGCCAATGGGATGACTGGTAGGAATGGACACACAGCCATGCAAAGACACAGAGAGGACAGACAGAGAGTGAGCAATGGAGACTGACAGACAGACATGGACAGAACCTGGAGAGGGATGGATGCCACAGAGAAGCTGCAGTTGGGGCAAGGTGGCTCCTCACCTGGGGGAGGCAGGGTTGGCGGCCCCCCAGGGTGTGGTCGGGGTCTGGGGACAGCCTCTAGGGGGGCTGATGGTACTTGGAGAGCTGCAGGGGGGCAGCAGGTTCATGACCAACCGCCCCCAGGCCACCATGCTGAGGTTCATCTGGGAAGCCCTCAGGAAGTCCTGGCCTGAGGAGCAAAGGAGGGGCTTAGTCTTAGGGCCCCTAACAGCCCAGCCCTGCTCCCTACACGCACATCCCTCACCCCCTCCGCACCTCTGCGTTTAGAGAAAATGCGTTTCTGCCTTTGCAGGCGAGGCCTCCTCTCAATGATGGGGTCACAGAAGGTCACCTGTGGGGGCAGGGGCCAGGGATAGGACCAGTCCTCTCCATCCTAACTGCCATGGTACCTCCTTGGAGTCCAGTACCCAGCCTGCGCCCCCAACATCAACAAATGCAAAGAGGCAGAGGGCTCAGAGGGTTGGAGCCTACGCCATCCTTGTTCCCAGTGTGGAAACTGAGGCCAGAGAAGACAGGCAGTTGTCTAGGGTCACACACAAGGCAGGGCAGAGTCAGGACTCAGGCTCCCAGACTCCTGTGCAGTGCTCTCTCCACTGCCCCAGAGAGGGACTG